GCGATGTTAACAGGGTCAAGCGTGAGAGCTTCTTCTGCATCTTCGTAGGCAAACATGTACTGATTCATTTTAAGGTTTGTTCTCGCACGATTTAAGTAGTACTTAGCACATTTTGGGTTAGCGACTTCTATTGCAAAAGAATAGTGCCTATACGCAGCGGAATAATTTTCAGACTGAAAAGCTCCTTTACCATCTCTATTGTGAATTTCTGATGCGGATATTGAATCCATTTTGAGAACGAAGAATATACTTTGAGGTTAACTCCACGGTTTATATGTTATTTTTATTTCGGAACATACTATAAAATAATCCGGATTGTTGTACGTGGCCGGATAAGAAATTAACCATTGAATAAAGTTGGTTACATGCGCATGACTAATTTAAATATCGTAATATCAACAAACTGGGCTTGTGAGTCGAATCTTGTAAGGCACGTATTACGGTATATACAAAATTCTTTATTACTTCTGCTTACGAAGTTATTTAACATAAATATACAATTTAGTAAAATAAGAGATTGATAAGATATAGCATTAGTTTTGTTCAAATTCTTATTGAGATCAAATAAAATGTTTTACACAATAAGATATAGTTTATATGTCATTTTAATGTTTTATTATAACTGTTCATGTTACAAAGTATAATTTAGATACCACAATAAATATAATCAATCATATAATTTAGTCATTAAATAATTTTTGTTTATTGAATTGCCATATTTAATCGAAATTCCGAAATTTATTTTCTGACTCTTTTCTTCTTATTTATAACTGCGATTATGTTGCAATTCTATATTATAGAATAATATACGTATTACATATATTGTAATGTTTTATGTTTGCAATCTGTTAATTTGACTTTGAGTGCTTTCTGTAGTGGGCTGATTATTGTGCTAGGTTTGTACTTTTCGTAACATAAAATATTTTTGAGCATCTCTATTTACTTTCTATAATGAATTGTACTAGGAATTGAACATAACACATTACGCATACAGTACGTACCGTATACCATTTAAAGATACTGTACTAGTAATTTTGTGAAATGAAGTACTTCCTCCAAAGTGTTGCTTGTTTAAGTATGGCTATGATTTTTGTATGTGCCACCAATTTTATTTGTAATATCATAGCATAATTTTGTATTCCACTTGCCAAGAGAAAATTTTGAAAACAATAATTGTAAACAAATCTCAATTTTTTTTTACATGCTGAGATAACTAATTTCTTTTCTAATTACTGTATATACTTTAATTACTCTTGATTATTGATTCTAAATTAAAATTCTTAATAAATAGTCAGTATTCAATAAAAATAAACTGATGCCTATTATAATTGATAATCAACATTATGTAAAAAAAATTTTGTAGATGTGACCATCAAATCTTGAGTATTAGCTTATGCCATTATTAAATATTAAATAAGTATTTATAATCTTTTTTTTTAATAGCTAGCTCAGCCTTACTTTATTTAGATTAAGTAGAGATGTACATACTATATGTGGTTTATGCTAAGACTACATATGTTAACCAAATTCAGTTTAATAGAAATACTTCACCTCATGGCTTGTTGCCACCCTAGGGGAGAGCTAATCTTTCAAGACTGGGCTAGTGCTGTATAAAATTTTGAAAATATGTTAGGGGTGTATAATGTTCATGATGTATTCCCTAATACAGCTATTGACCAGATCAATATATTGGCCTTTAATATATTTTTCACTTAATTGAACCAGTCATGTTTGGTTAGTATACTGTGGTTAGTGATTCTTTCTAACTTTCTGGTAATTCCTTGTTAAGTTTTTCATTTCTGAAAGTCTTTATATTATGATTTCCAGATTTGATAGAAGTATTGGCTCCTTTCTTGCCTAATATCTTTAAGATAGTAAAGTCTGATTTATTGTTTAGAATGCAGTGTATTACTATGTGATAAGTTTCTTTTAATATTGCACCTTTGATTGTGGTCTTGAGATATTTAGTGTATTTTAGAGATGTGTGGTCACATATTTGAATATTTGTGATTTATGCTATGTTATCTTAGTTTCTTAATAATAATAGTTTCTAGCTGATTTTTTGTTTCTTATTATTGTTTGAGGCATGTGAATAAATAGGTGTGAATCTCTTTTCTTTTGCATTTAATGCATTTGTTATCTATAGATATGTTTTGTAGATATGAGTGGAGTTTGGTTTTAGTGGGTAGTTCTTTGTTCAAGAGGCATAAATTGATTTTCTCTATTATTGATTTTCCCAATTGATTTGCTATTCACTCATTTTTATTAGTTATAACAGGAATATTTTTGTTGACCAGTAGATTTGTTCAATAATTTTTTCATTGAATTTAGTTTTTGTTCTATTGAGTAGTCACTATTTTGTGAGGTTATGGCTTTTGTGAGTTCTTGAATCATTTTTTTATAGGAATATCAAAGGTTCTATTGTCTCACTATGGGATATGTATAAACTGTGAATTTTATATAAGACACATTTTATTCTTCTTTTTTCCTAGTTTCATTCCTTATTTTATGTTTACTTTTGTCAGTTGTTTTGTATAATCATTGTATTTGTTACCTAAGTAAGCTTTGATTTTGATAAAAATAAGTTTGAAGTGATTTTTATTGATTAGATCTTTTAATTGTTTTAGAATTTCAAGATTTTTTTGTCTTCTTAAATTGATAATATAGTCAGTTTGGATTACTTTATGGATATTATTAATTGCAACCTAGCTATCTATATAGATTTTAGCTCTGCTAAATTGAAATAGTATATTGGTAGCTATCAAGATAGCCATTTTTTCAACTCTAGATAATGTGATGAAGTTCTTCACTTATTCTTGGAAACATGTTTCTTGATTTTTTTTATAATTATTTATTCAAAGCCCATATAGCTTCTTTTTTAGTTTGTGACAGAGATCTATTTATATAGATTTCAAAGTTGATTTCATCTTGTATCTTTTGATAATATTTGCTAGTTTAAGTATAACTGACTTGGATGCCTTGAGAAACTTATTCAAGTGTGTTTTGCATATATTGCTTGAATAACTGATTCTTGTTTGCTCTCTGTCCTTACCTATTGAAAATATTCTTAAAGTGCTATCTGATCAAGTTGAGTGAGACTCTATTTTTAAATCTGGTGATGTCTACTATATTAGTTTGTATAGAGTTCTACTTTATTGTACAGGGATTATTAATGTATTTCATTTTAAGGCATTGAAGATATATGGATAGATTGATTGTCTGTTTAGATTGAAATTGCATTCTGTATATTCAATTAGTAGTAATATATTGATTCTTGAATATTAGTACCTATATGTAGTTTTGTTGGCATCAATTCTTTTCTGTTTTCTTTTAATCACTGTTATGATGTTGATCTCTATTGTGATTCAATATAGTTTTGCAATATTTGTTTTGTTTGTGAATATGCATTGGAGAGAAGAATTGGTTTCAATTTATTGTTGAGTATTTATGGTTAGTAGCAGTTTTGAGTTTGTTTTTATAGAGTAAAGAACCAGATTAGAATTAGGCCAGGTTGGCTCTGTTGTATATTCTGATAATTTGACACTATTGAAGGATTTTTTTTCTGTTATTGTTCAGGAGTTATTCTATAAAGATAATGTTATACTTCTTTAGGCTAGTACAAATTTTCTTATAGAATTCTGTATCTATAATGTCTTCAATAGTGGTGTCTGTTTCTATAATAGTTTAAAAGTTACTATGTTGCATTTTCTAAAATGTGAAACCATATATTCTGAGCAGTCAAATTGTGTCATAGATGAGATTCCTGCCTAGTTTCAAGAAGAGGGACTATATAATATTATAGATTTCTTTAATAAATCAATACATATTCTGTATTGCTTGAAGTTAGTGTCTTGCAATATTTTCCATAACCTTTTATTTGTTGATCCTAGTATAACAGTTGTTGACATATAGCTGTATCTGTCTATTCCAGATATGTATTATGTAGTCTTATATTTGTTATATAGCATATTATTTGGGACTATATTTGCAAAATCTATCTTTTGTTTTAAGATAAAAACTATTTTGCTTATTAACAATATTAGGCATTAATATATAATTGATTATATATTGAGCTTGTTTGTCAGTAACTTTCTTTATACCTATTAATATTCATATATTGACTATTTTTTGTCTTATATATTATTTATGATCATCTTTCTATTCTAAACTGTCATATTACACTTCTAAAATTCTGACTAGTGTATTAGGAAGATACTTTTTAATTCTCTAATTGTTCATTATGACTTCTTGTTTTTTTTTTTTTTTTTTTTTTTTTTTTTTTTTTAAGCTGGCAAAATCATGTCTGTAGTTTTTATTTAATCATTAATACCTTCTTATGTACACAAATTTAATTGTAAGAAAATACATTTATAATAGGAAAAAAACTATAGACTCAATATCATTCGAATCCTGCGACTTGCTGCAGTTCACCCCGATGAGTGAATATTAGCATGTTATAACTCCGCTAACACTAATACTTACAGAAAATAAAGTGTTAATTGAGAAACCATTTTGTATGATGTTTTTCATATTGTAGTTTGTTAAGTCTATCTATAACTGTATGGCAATGTTGGGTGCTTTGTTTTTTAGTAATGTTTTACCATTCTTTGGGTATTTATCAATGCCACTTGTTGGTCTTTTCTTCATTCTTTTTGTTATTCCCTGTGTTTTTTCCCACTCTACTACCAATTCGCATCTTAGCTTCCAGACCCTCTTCTTTTTCTCCCAAAAGAGTGCTGTAGCTGATTTGATCACTGTTTTTGCTGATTCGATGTTCCCTGTAATTTTCTCCATAGTTTTCATTATTTTGTGGCTGATGACTTCTCTGATAATATCTGTCCAATTCACTATCTGATCCTATTTTGTCCAGTCTACTGGTGTTCTTGGAGGGAATGATTGGTTCCATTTGTTCAATATGGGTTCTGTTTGTTTGTGACCATTCGTTTAGGCTGCACATTCTTGTGTGAGAAATGCAATATATTTTTCTATTAGTCTTGTCTTGTTGGGTCCACATGTGAAGGGATGCAAGTCTTTCTCTTCTTGCTTTCTGCAAATTGTGCAGATGTGGCTTTTGTATTGATGCGGTTTTCTTTTATACAGGTTGCCCATTGTAGTATGCTCATTGAGCCATGTCTTGAAGCAGAATGTCCTGTCATTATGTTCCTTGGCATCTGTTTGCATTGTTATGATTTTGGATGGTGTGATTGTTTGCATAGTCATATTCCAATCA